ATACTGGATGGCGCTCGAAACGTCAGAGGATGCGATTCAAGTTCACCAAATTCTATTTACTTTCTAAGATTTTATGGTTTTTCAATTTCCTTCAGTCAACAAAATTAGAAATTGAACTTTATCTCCATATAAGAGTTTGCGTCTCGTGATGGCGCCTACATATGTTGGAATCCAAAAAAAAAAAAAAGAAAAAAATAGATCTGTGTGATCCAATCATTACCATACCATTAATTTTTTTTACCAAAATTGATGCTTTCATCATGAGATATTAAAAATTCAATCTTTTTCTGAAGGGCTTCCTACTCATGAGAAATCTTATATGGAGTGGGGTTCACGAAATAGACTCACATAATTGAAATTTGCTCCGCGTAATTTTTATATTAAATCATTACCATGTTTTTTTGGCCATGAGTTTTTTGGCATGTAAAAATAATAGACCTACGTGGTCCAAGTTATATAAAGTTAATTTCCTTATGAATTTACCCGTTATGAAGTAATTTTCGCCAAGAACTATTGAAAATTAGACCGTTTTGCCACGTAAAGATTTAGGTTTCTTAGGACCAATTATAGGAGAGGACGTTCAAAAAACTATTCCAGCCGAATCAAATTTTTTATTACCAATGTTAAATGTGGACATATAAGTAATTTTTCCCATATAACGAGTTTTCAAAATGGAGCGCATCATTCGGGGGAGTAGCTGAAAAAGTGGACCGATCCGAACCATTTTCAATAGTATTTGTGCTCGTGTCAAATAATGTCATTGTACGAAATTTTATCAAAATTTACATTGACAGACATTAGATGACCGACGGACAGATAGGCTAAAAAAAGAAAATTCTATCAATGATTCTAAATCGATCGATATAATAAAGGTGAGTCTAACTTAAGCATATCCGGGTGTTTACAACCGTTCGCCCTGTGCCACAAGCAGTGCTGGGTATAATAAATTGCCAGAGCATTGATCAAAATTTATTTTAAACAGAAAATATCTGGTCTTTTAGATTGAGTTTTTTATTTTTACGCTGTACTTGGACTAAATTTCTAGCGATCTAATGGGATGATGTTTTTATTCAGATTTTCAATCATTAAAATGAAAAGCAAAGACAAACTAAACAAAAGCACTAAAAAGTATTGCAAATGATTTTTATATCTAAATCAAAATGTATTCGTCCGATATTTATCAATAATTAAATTAATATTATTAAAATAAAATAAAATAAAATAATAATATAATATGTTTTCCTTTTACACTTTAGCTAAATACTTGTATAGTAATTGTGTGTATATGTATCTCTCTCTGTACATACATTAATTATTATCAATGCCATTGTTATTAGAATATTTTTGCATACATTGCGTCTATGCGTAAGTCTTTAACGAAAATCAAGTAAATATTAAATGGAAAATGCTTTTGAAATAATCACTTCCTCGTTGACGATTGAGGTTATGTCCGTTCATGCGTCCGTGTTTTCATGCGTAAAATTTTAATTTATAATCAATACCGAGCCATAATGACTGAGTGTCAATCAAAGCGAAAAATATCTTGGATATGAAAAATTCTTATAAGGAATTTTCGCCAATCAGTTTCGTTAGACATTTTCACCTACGGCCTATCCGATTTCGACTTCTTCTTAAGTTTATGTGACTTTTTCACTTTTTTGGAAAATCAAAAAAGGAAAAAGAAATGCATTCAAAGCATATATATGTATTTTGTTCCTTACAATCTCGATTAATAATCAAAAGGAGAAAAAAAAAAAATAAAAAGAATGACACGGACCTCGGCGAAGCTGAGTACATCGATGGCAGATATATTGACATTGCCATTTAATATATAGATATATAAGCGATGAAAACTCAATTTCGAATAATATTTTTCTTCCTTTTTTGTTCTTTTGAAGTTTCGCTGCAGACTTATGCACAGATACAGTGCATAAATGTGTTTGTGTTGCAAGTCTCTGTACAATATTTACATGAAAATACTTATTTACACAAAATTCAATTGATTTGTTTTGCCACTTAAGCACTAATGCATTCTCGCTCACACACACACACACACACACACACACACACACACACATACACAAGGAATATTACCTACTATTAATTATCACATAGAGTGAATTAGTTTACAGATTTCTATCATTGTTGCTGTTGTTGTTGTTGTTGTCGCTGTTGTCGTTGCTGTTATTTTCATTTAATTGTTTGTTTAAGTAGCTGTTGAGATTATATAAAAATTAAATGAAACGAATATTTGCCTAACAACAGAAAGCGAAGGGCAACGAAGAAAATTGAATTTATGTAGAATAAGAAAAAAAAAGAAAAGGCATAAGCGTACGCGCATTGAAACAACAACAATAGCAATTATGATTTTTGCTGATAAATTGACACAATTGTCGTTCATATTAACACTTTAATAATCAAATTATTCGCTAAATGGAATTTAGTTAGTTAGTTAGTTACTTAGTTACAGGCGCATTCACATTTAAACGCACGTATGCATACAAATACACACACACACACACACACTCACATACATACATACATACATACATACATACATACACATGCACAGAGGTATACATTTCATACATACATATATATTTCGAATAAATTGAATTAATTACGAAGGTAAACAGAATGTATTGGCAACAGTTGCAATTTGAACTGTTTACCCCGTACATATCAACAAAAAAACAACAAAGTTAATAAAATGCCAGCAATCAATAATTAAATAGACAGTCAGTCAGTCAGTCAGTCAGTCAGTCACTCAGTCACTCAGTCAGTTTGTCTGTCTGTCTGCCTGTCAATCAACCAATCTATCGCTATATAATGATTAGAAGAGGACCCTAGGCTTTTATTTATAAATTCCTAACATTGTGTCTTAATTAAGCCTATCCTCTCCTCTCCTCTTCACGTCACGCTTTAATGCAATCTCGTCACATATGCACACATAAACACTTTCAAGTTAATCGACCACTACTCGTGTAGCATTTTGATTAGTTTACACTATCATCTCGTATCTCGTATCTTGTAGGTGGCATCGGCACTTATTCTCCTCCCCATCACAATATTCAATAATGATTTGTTTATTGTAAGGTGGTAAGGAGGTTTTCAAGGTTTTTATATCTTTGCCTCTTTTTTTTTTGTTTTTATTTTGTTTTTTTGTTTTTTAAATTGCATCCAATTATTGAAAGAATCCTCTTTGCTTTTGTGTCAAAAACTAACTGACTGTATTGTTCGATGAGGTGCTTTGTTGTGCCTGCTGTTGCTGCTTAATGCGTTCTTTAGCCTCTTGTTGGGCTTTCTTTGAACGTTTCCATTTCATTCGGCGATTTTGAAACCAGATTTTCACTTGAGTTTCCGATAGCATAAGACCGCTGGCGACCTCAAAGCGCTTAGGACGCGATAAATATTTGTTTTGCTTAAATTGCTTTTCCAATTCCAATAATTGCTGCGAAGTGAAAGCTGTACGTGGCCGACGGGTTTTACCTAAAATGGCATGATGTGGATACGCGGCCAATTCAGGTATGCGATGATGTAACATACCGGCACGAGCCAAAAACTCAAATTGTAAATGCGAGGGCATAAAATGTTGACCCATAGGTAACTGTATTGCACCAAAGCATTTAGAAGAGAATGGAAATAAAAAAACAAAAAAAAATCCTTTATAAATGATTTTAATAAATAAATTTTTTTTTTTTTTACTTTTTTGCTTTATCTTCTTGTTTTAATTGTTTATAGAAAAAAACAAAAAAGGAAGAAATATTCCTACCGGTATTGGTTTTCCCGACGGATCTAAAGGTCGATGAAAAGCTGAGCCACCTTGAGCCAATAGCTGATAAGGATGACCGCCGGCGTAGAGAGTAAAATCCTGTGGTCTTAAAGGACTATGAGGCGGCACTATAGGTTTTTTAAATTCATCACCAAATTCCATACGCATACCAATATGCTGTTGATCCTCGCAACCGGGACTAATAGGAGGACTTGAACGATGTGATGAGTTAGGCGACTCCGATCTAATTCAATTAATAAATAAATCAATTATTAAAAAACTTATGTGTATACACACATATATTACCATAAATATCTCTGATCTTAATCTATTTTCTTGATAATACATGATCAGGCAACTTGTATAAAAGCAACGATTTTTCCTAAACTTATCGTTGTGATCTTTATAAGAAATTTTAAAGAAGAAAAAGAAGAAGAAGAAAGCATCTATTCTGTATAGATATCGTTCCTCTATAACACTATTACAAAACACACAGATGTGTTTTAAATTAGAAAAAGGATAAACCCTTTATATGGAAGGAACATCGTAAGCAAAATTATGCGCTGATAGTGCAACTACGGAGATTCTTATCTTTGAGATTTTTCGTCATATTCGTCGCCCGTCCATCATATCAACGCTTTGTGACGAAAATCGGATACAACCTCAATGTTAATCAAGAGGCCTTTCGGCCGAGATCATCGAAGCTAATCTCCTTCTTAATTTTTTACTAATCCTTTCTGGCCAATACCGTAACTTTATATATAGGAGACGTCGGCTATATATATATATTTATATACTTTCATGCATATACAGTTCCGTTCCTTTCATGAACAAACAAATAATAATAAGATTAAAAAGAGAATAAGTAAAAATATTATAGTCGAGCAAGGCCGATCATTAAATACCCTACCCCCCATTGTCTAACACAATTCTTATTTTTGTATGAAGTCACTATTATGGGTCAATTTTCATCATCATATATTAAAACTTGGAATTTTCTGCTCTACAAACAATCAATTTTTTGTGAAAATCCTTATTATTCGAGAAGAAAATAGACCGAGATGGCCCAAATTTGGTACAATTAATTTATTTATGTTCAGTTATTATTATCATATAGTTTTCAACATGAAGCACTTATCGTATGAACATTAGTTCCCTTTATATGAGGGATGTTCAAAAATTGCCCCAACCGGTCCAAACTTGTCATATCAATTTACAATACCGAAGCACTACTGTTCAGCTACATTTGCCGAGAAATTTTGAAAATTGCATAATTTTTTTCATGGGGAGTGGTTGTAAAAGTCGATCGATTCGGATTATTTTCAATGGCGTTCGTCCTTGGGTCAAAACACATCACTGTACTAAATTTCACCAAAATATCACCAAAAGTTGCAACTTGCAGCTTAAACACAAATTTACACGGACAGATATCAGACGGACACATAGACTTAGATCAATTCAGATTATGATCCTAAGTCGATCGGTATAATAAAAGGTGAGTCTATCTTAAGCCCTTCTGCATGTTACATACGTCCGCACCAACTTAATATACCCTGCACCACAAGTGATTCGGGGAATAATTGTAATAAAGGCATATATCAAATTCAAGGTAACCACATGCTTATAAAATTGCTATGATCATCACCAGAGGGGGTTCTTAAACGGCAGCTTTGTTAGGTAAAACGATCTCTCTTCCCATTTACTACATTCAGAAATATATTGTTGGAGGGAGATTTTTCATCAGCGTGAAACTCAAAATCAATCCCCGCCTATCCGTCCGTCTGTGCTGATAATTTTCAAAATTGAGGAAATAAAAATACTAATACTAAAAATACTAATAAAAAAATACTAAATTTTCAAATGAATGTGAAATGCCGTCAAGGCCACGTATACCGGCTTATTTCTTATAGTAATTCCAAGAATGGAATACTTTTCCTCAATCATCAGAGTTGGCTTCAAGACAGTTATCCAATCTTGAACAAGCAGGAAACAAATATGAAAGAGTTGCCAATGAAAAACAAAAAAACGGCATACGATTAAGTGGATTGGATATTTTAACGCCGAACAACGCTTTCTTCAGAATTCTTTGAAAAGGAACGCATGAGGCGTGGGATAAAGCGAATCTTTGTACACTATACCCTTTTCCTTTTTCGCATCATTATTTGCTAAAATTCGCAAGATCACAAGTTTGAAATGCTGACGAAATGTCTTTGTTTAGTTTTGAATGGCATTGACTTCTCAATCATAAGCATATGGAAAAGTGAAAGGAAATTGTCCTTTAGTTTTAGTTTGGTCCTTAGTTTTAAGTGAAATTTTTCGTTTACATTTTTCTTAAAATATCATTAAATTTGTTTTAACTTGACGTTAAATTTCGGTCACTGGAGGATTCCATCAAAGCATCAGTTTTCGAGGTAAAAAAAAAGTCAACATTCAACATCATTCGGTAACGCAATCCATTCATTTTCACGACCTCACTCAATTCGCTTCAAACGATTGCTTATTACGGTTATAGAGATTATTCGAATAATAATTGCTCTTGGCACGAATGCGAATGCGATTTTGCCGACAGACAAAAATGAGCCACATCAGTATTTTGATATTTCGTATGTTTTGTGCCAGCATGCATAGATTTATATCGGAAAAAGATAATTTCCTAGTCTTTGTCCTCTATCTGTGTTCTGTACATGCTTTATAAAGTCCGCGCAAGATATTCAATGACCATCAATGGTATATAACGAAAAGCAAAGTAATGGTAAAGCAATATTTTCAAGATTGCCCTGAGCGCGTTTAGGATAAAGTAGAAAAAGTCAAGTGATATGTTTCCAACTGACAGGTAAATGCATATTATATGGAAACTACTTTAGTACTCTTTCCATACCAAATAGAAACGTTTCAACTTCATCTCATATATGAATGTGATGAATGTGTTTATCGTTAAGAATGTTTCAGTTGTCTTCACTAACCTAGTGCTGGCCAACTGGTTTGGTATGTTTGTCTTCTACGCAATTAAAAGAATTTTCTTCAAGCGTGTATAGATAGAGACTGAAAGCAAACTAAATGCCGGACCAAATATCATTCACTCATAGATTTCGAGGGCTTTTTAATTAAGGTGTTGTTATTAATCTCTATCATCTAAGATGCCGAAGTTTGCCTAAATTTTAATTCACAATTGAAGACTAACTAAACCTACCTCAGAATCGCAAGGTAGGCGTTTAGCAATTGTACTTCTTTCCTGCCTAATATAAGATCGAGATCAACGCACAAACGTTTTGTCTTTAATAGATAATCGTTCAAGGATAACAAATACCATTTACATCCTTGATTTATCTCAGAAGACTCGTAATTAAAGAACAAAATAATCTTAAAGTCTCTAAGAGGCCGTAACTTCAAAAGCTTAGTATACGAAGCTGAGGCGAACATTGATTTTATGATAGCATTAGGTGTTTTGGGTGGTATGACGAGTGATGACGAGAAAGATGTTCGTTGATTTCGGTGATTCAGTTACCTTTTCAATCGTCGCACTCACCTTGACATACCGTCGGGACTGGGCGAATCGTAATCTCGTGATTCATGTATCCGCTGTAGAGCTTCTTGCTCGGTAATACTCGACGCTGACAGATCGCGAGCGTATTGAAAACCAGCCACTAAACGCTCGTCGAATGATGTCACTGTTGACTTGATAGACGTATTCTCTACCGGCAGGGAATCGGTGCAATTTTGATTCTTAGCTAACAGAGCATCAATGCAAAATGATTTTTTCGGTTGACTTTGCGGTATTGAAGGCGGCGATACGGAAGCGGTAGTTGTTGTCGCTAACGATGGTAGAGATGGAGATTGAGCTGTCACTGGCAATTGAGTAATGGAATTTTGTTGACTCAACATTACAGTAGATAAAGGTAAACGTGGCAGAGAATAAACACCGACACCAACTGGTAATGTATTGGATGGCGGTGGCGGTGGTGGTGGTAAACCTTCAAAAAGTCTTTGCTGCCCAGGTAAAGGACCGCCGGCAAAAATGCGCTGATCCCTTAAGCTAACACTAGGAGGCATAGGTGTAATATTATGAATGGCGGTAGTAACAGCTACAGGAGCTACCAGTAAAGGCAAAGAACCTGTATGCGAGGTTAATAAGGAATTTGACGTCGTTGAGTTATTCAATTCGGTTGGCGGTGTTAAATTATTATTTTGAGAGGTCAATGGTTTTGGCGAATTTGTATTCGAATGCGTCGAAGCCGGTGACTGGGCCGGACTCATTTGCGAGCGCGGCGATCGTGGCGACGATGTCGAACGCGTATTGGAATCTTGCTGATAATCACTGTTTGATGGCGACGAGCTATGCGTATGTGTAGGTTGCTGATGTTGTTGCAGTTGTTGTTGCTGTGCGGCTGCTATATGATTTAAAAATTGTGATATATGCTGATGTTGTTGTTGTTGCTGTTGCTGTTGTTGCTGCTGTTGCTGTTGTTGTTGTTGTTGTTGCTGTTGTTGATGATGATGCTGTTGCTGCAATTGCTGCAACGTGGGCGGCTGAGAGACTTGAGCACTAGACATTTTACTCTAATTTAAACACTAATTAATATTTAATTAAAAATTTCAAACTTTTTTTTTTCTCTCCTCTCCTCTTCTCTTTTTTTTTTTTTTTTCTTTTTTTCTTGTTAGTTTAGTTTGCTAACACAATTCATATATGAAATGGATTTGAAAACACTTCTTGATTGCGGTTTTTTTTTTTTTTTTTTATTTGATTTTGTTTTCTTTTAGCACTTGTCTTAATATTTACTGGTTAATAGCCGATTTCGCAGTCGATTTAATGTTTCTACCGTTTGAAAGCATTTTAACGACTGTGATAAAATTATCAAAAATTCTCAATCAAATACCTCGAATGTAATGAAAACAAAACTTTATAAGCGTACGTGCGATTTTGTGTGTGTGTGTGTGTGTGTGTAAGTGTATGTGCAAACGAGTTATTTCCCCTTCAACCCCGTAACCAAACGTAGTGTATGCACAAAAAAAAAAAGGCACGCACTGTTTTAATACACCTTATAACCTTAAATAAAACCTAATAGAATATCACCTATATTCATACATAAACACTCTCTCATTCTCTTCAGTTCTCAGTTGTTGCTGCGTTTTTTCCCCTATTTTTGTTTTGCTCTCTCTTATGCGCATACTCTTGCATTTCAAAACAAAGATGGAGTGTTACTCCATATAACGATTACTCTTTCATTCTCATTCGTAGCATAATATTTTGGAGGGAGATAGCGAATAAAAATATGGGAGTGTTTTGCATTATTTAAAAAACGTAAATTGACGCACATAAGCGCATACTTATGGTAATAGCTTTAATAACAAATTTTAACTTTAAATTGCTTTAGCTATGTTGCGAAGAGGTGTGGCATTGATAGCTTTATGAGTGTGCAACTAATACCCCGAATAGACTCACACCCGGATCTTGTCTATGCTAAAAAAGTTTTGTTATAGGTCTCCATTTTTAGCCTAAAATTGTTGGTAAAACGACATATAATTACCATCATTACGGAGTGTTTACTGCTGTGCAGTAGCTAACTGACAATACATATACATATACATGCACATGCACATGCACAGTGGAGACAGTCGAGTGTTATTAGTATTGAAAAGCTGGGTTAACTACACATTACGAGAAACTTATTATATTCAGTCTTAATGCATGCATATACGTGCACATATGTTTGTACATCTAGTATGTATTGAATGCATATATCATCTACACTTTTCTACCCTTTTAAAATTCACACTACTACTACTAAACACACACACACACTCATACTCCAACGCACTTTTGGCAATTACGCACTTATTTTGAGGGTGAAATGTATCTTTAAGTGTTTGTGCAAATTTGTTGCCCTATTTGCAACTTACATATACACACGTACATGCATAGGTATGCCTGTTTTCTTTTTTGTTTTTTTTGTTTTTTTTGCTTCGTTTATATTACAGCAACTCATCCTTGTGCCTATATAAAATACATTTGGCCACGTTTTGGATACTGAATGCAAGAACAAAAAAAAAAAAAGGTGGGTCCTTGCTTTTGTTTTTATAGTATTTTCATTAGAAAATTTTTACCTTATTTTTTGTTTTTGTTACTTTTATTTATTTTTTTTTGTTTTTTTTTTTTTTTTTTTTTTTATTTTTTGTAACTTTGTATCAGCGCACTCTGCTCATTTGCACGCACACATTGTTGAATTGTTATGTATTTCATTATCGGGATTGGTGGCACTAGTTCGTGTTTTTGTGTGTTTGCTTGTATTGCGTATATTGTGTACGTTTTGTGATTTAACATTTGTATGTTTTAGAAATTGTGTAAAATTTTTGTTAATTAGTGTTTGCCGTACTAATTACTTTTCAAATTACTACAAAAATCTCAATCTATTTAATTTACATGGCATCTGTGTAGATGTATTTAAGCACACATACAGACACGCATATGTCGTGTTCTCGTTTAATTATAATTTTTTTTTTTTTGCTAGTTTTTGTTTTTCTCCCTTTTTTGTTCTTTATTTTTTATTATTTTTTTTATTTTTTATTTTTTTTTTTTGTGGGCAAGGGAAATTAAATTAGAATAAATGTGGTTCGTGTGTGCTTTTGGTTTATAATTAAAACTAATAAAATATTTAAATTGAGGTCATTAAATAAAAGTTTTAGGCTAATTTTTATACATTATACGAATTATAATAAAAATGCAATTTTTTACTTAAATAAATAATGAAAAATATAAATTAAAAAAAAAACTTACATATGCCTACATAAAATATCTACATTCTTAGATAATTATATAAAAAATCGTACACCGTTTGCGACAACTGATATATACTTGCTTCTCACTCAGCTCACAACGATATCGATAATATCTTGGAATATTTACATCGACAGCAAGACATTTAAAATATGTATAACAGTGCATCCAAATACAGGCGACAATGAGTCCATACACCATACGATCATATATTCTTATATAAATATATAATAGCGGAATCAATTTAGCCATGCCTGTGTTTGTATCTACGGCGGCTTGAAAATTTTGTCTAGAAGTAAATATATAGTTTCTCAGTTTACTTCATCATTCTCGGCCGAAATTCAGCAAAACTTATGCGTATGCGTTCGATTACAATTTTATTAAAATTTCTTAATTAAATTAATAATAAAAAAAAAAAGTCGTAGCGAGACACATCTCATAGATGGAGTATATTAATTAAAAATCAAGTAAAACCACTATAGTTGGACATGCCTTACCATTAAATACCCTACACCACACTAAAGCGACTTTTCAAAATAAGATATTACGTGGGACATTGTCCGATTTGAATCATCTTTAATAGCATTTGTCCTTGGACCAAAACACATCAGTGTACCCATATTTCAACACAATATCTGAATAGTTGCAATCTGTAGGTTGCAAACAAGAAAACGAGACAGATAGATGGAGAAAGAAACTAACAATCACTTTCTAAACTGATGCTTACAATGAAAGGTGGATCTATCTCCAGTCCATATGCGTCAATGTTGCAACACCCGCCAGAACTTAAAATACTCTTGTACTATAAGTGGTGTAGGGCATAATTAATCAAAATAATTTGCCAATTGAAAAGAAAATGTACTCAGAATCTTAAGTCACTGTTTGATACGTAGGTATGCTGCGAAATTTCTCAATAGCCTGATGGCAAAAGCTATAGAACGTTATTAAGATATTAATTTTACTCTTACTCCTTATGAGGAATTTTGTAAGCATAATAAAAACATTCGAATAAAGTCATATATTGAGTAGAGAGAGACATTCCGAGGCAACTTAGTCTTATTTAATGATTCACTCGATTCGTCCAAATTTTTCTACATATATATATATATATGTATTTATATAACCCTTCAAAACATTCGCAATACCCAGCAGCAAGTATCAAAATCAAATTTTGAACTAAAATTTGAACAAGTTCATCTGTCCGTCGGTGTAAGGTCTGCTATGAATATTCTCCTCCGGCCTCAAAAATGAAGCTGTCATCTTCAAATATAGCAGAAACATTGGAGGTCCTTGCACGCAGGTTGATATTGAAAATGGGCCAAATCGCTCACCGAACGACCTATACGAAGAAAATCTTCGTTTTCCAAAAGTAGAAAAAAAAAAGATTTTCATACAAAGAGTCACTATTTACAGGAGATAAGCTTAGAAAAATTTCAAGGCGTATTCACTGGACAATGCAAAAGCACCTACACTAAAATGAGAAAAACCACCCACGCACACTATTGCAGTATATCAAAATCTAACTTTTCTTTAACACATTTTTAACGCCAAGAAGCAACTTCGAATAATCCCGGAAAGCATACACATTCTTGCCCAGTATCAATTTCAAAATGTATCTAAATGTATCTGTCTGTCCGTCTCTCTATCTGTCCGTCTGCCCGATTATGCAGCATTTGTGGTAAACATTCTCTCTTCGAAAAAATGAAGATATCGTCCACGAATTTGCAAAAGAATTTTGAAAATGACCTGAACCGGTCAAAGGATACGTCCACTAGTGTCCATACGCATACCTCATATAAGTTTCCACTTTTATTTTAAAATTTGGAAACTTATAAACCAACAAAGCCCGCCCAGAATCTAGAATTCTAGAATATGAAAATTTCGTTTTTAATCCTTTTCAGGATAAGGTGATGAGTGTTAACGACCCTGTCACAAACGAATATAATTTTCTTACTTCTTTTTTCAAATTCTCAAAGATGCTAAAGAAGCTAGAAATTTGTTCGATCGAATAACCATTGACAACTATAACCAGTTACAACTTTACTCGGAAAAGCAAAAAGAGGACTAAAAATTAATATTAAAAAAGTGAATATTTTAATGAAATATTTTTTTTTTTCTCATTTTAGAAATAATTTAGGGATCAATTAATGGTTATGTCAAAAATTAAATAAGAGATTTTTCCAAAGCGCATAGTTTGTAAGTCTTCTTCTTTTTTCATTTGGAAATTTATCTTATTAAACTCAACTATCTTGAGAAATGATGGGCAAATTCTCCCCGACTTTCGAAATATACGATTTTGAACGATAAAAAACAGTATTCGCACATGAAGTGTTGCTTTGTTCATTTAAGCTATACCCATGGGCAATACTGACCGCTTCGAGCAGACATGAGAAATTTGATCGCTTTAAAAAAAATAAGATGATATTAACGATTTTCCACTTTCTTCTCAGGGAAGTGTAAGCCTGTCATGGCCAGCAATAAGTGGGGAAGTGGGGAGAAAGAAGCTGGAAGTGGCAGCCGATGGTCTATCGATGATGATAATGATGTTTATGATATTTAGTAACTACTTTCGGAGTATAGCTTGTGGTTTTCCTTTTAATCGCTTCCGTAATTCAGTTATCGAACGCTGCTCCAAACGCATTAAGGAATGCGTTTTGTGCTTTACATTGTTAAAGGTAATGAAAAGCATGTTAGTCACGATAAAGCAGAAATCAAAGCCAATTAATTGAAATTGAATCAACAATGTTTGGATTGATAGGTATATAGATTGTACTTTGAACACGATTTGAAAGAAAAAAATATAATTCGTATAAATAAATTGATGGGAAGTAATTCAAGTACTGAACGGTTCTCCTATTGGCTTACCCTTCATATCAGGAATCTTATGGTGTGGAAAATGTGCGTTAACTTGATCACGCAGCCATCAAAAGCTCATCTAAAATGATAAAATTATTATTATTATTAATATTAATTTAGCCAGAGACATATATTCTAAGACTAAATTGAAAACTCTACCGCATTCGAGATTTGAATCCGCGATATTTTGATAAATATTTTAAAGAAAGT